AGGATGTACATTGGTACAGATAGCCACTGGAAACACAGGGGATCCAGGATAGATGACTCTTTCAGGACCAGTAGTGAGAGGGGCGATGCCTGGAGGGTGAAGGGACTGTGGAGTAGAAAGGGGGAACCGATTACAAGAATCTACATGTAGCCTCCTCCCTGGGGGATGGACAGCAGAGAAGACGGCGGAGGGAGACATTGGACAGTGTAACTTATGATAAAACTATAATAATTTATGAATTATCAAGAGCACCTTCTTGTGGTATAAACATTTCGATGATGTGTAATGTGAGCACAGAAGTAAGATCCCATCACCTTTGCTCTATCTGATTAAGTAGAAGAAAATCCAAATCCTGCCCATTCTCAAAAGAAGAGCATTGCCCAAGGGATTGCCTATAAAGAGGCAGAGAAAATTGGGAAGTATTTTATAATCTCTCCAACATAGAAAGATTTGGAAAGAAATGATATTCAGGTTGTAAGCTCTCTCATGGAAAACATGGTCAAACTTCTAATTCTTCACTATTGACCCTTATAAATTTAGGACAAAGATTTTCTCATAGTACTTTTTTTTAATAAAAATGTCAGATACTTCATAGTGCACCCTGGTGAGGTTAGTGTTTGAAGGTAACCTTTCATATACCCCGCCATTAAGAATTCTCATGCTAGGAAATAAAGTAGTAATACAAATAGTAGTTCAAAAATTAGTTAAATAAGTGAATGATTGCTTTTGTTTTTATCAAGGCAAGCACAAAGCTTACTACCACCGATGTGAAGCTTCTCTCAAAAACAGACACACAATGTCTGAGTATGGATCTTTTAATTTTTTAGGGGTGTAAAGTCACCAGACCAGCAAAGTAGTTTTTATCCCCTTCCCTCATTGACATTGATGGCCAAATTCACCCAGAACCCCAGCCCTTGGGTCTATGACCACAGGAAAGATAGCAAATCTGGAAGTAAGAACACATGCACGTGAACCCCATCATAACCCCATGGTGAACCTGGTTACTGTAGTCTGCCCACCACCACTGAGTCAGATCTGACTCACAGAAACACTAGAGAGGATTTCGTAGGATGTAATGGTTATGGGAGCAGAAAGCCTCGCATTTCTGTGGAGTTTCTGATGCTTTTAAGATGCAGCCCAACACGTAACCCACTGAGCCAACAGTGCTTCTTTGGACACTAGAAAATTTTAGAACAATTAATATTTCAGAAGAGTCTCATTCAGTGGGAAAAACTAGTGAGTTTTTCCAGCGATAGATTTGAGGATGGTCATATCACTCTCCATATGAATCAATGTCCTAGAGTAAGAACGTGGCCTTGAAATTGGATTGAGTATGAATTGTACGTCTCTAACCCAGTCATTATAACAAGTTCTTAACTTCCCATTTGTATGTATGGTTTGTTTCCTTAGGCTGTCCATGTCATGCCCCTTTGTAACACTAATCACTTGAATTAGCGCAAAAACCCTCCTGAGATTACACATAGCCCTGTCCTGTTTATAGATGTAGGGAGATGAGATTAATCTATGTCTGTCCATGGCCCCAGGGAGTTTCGTATCCCACCATTGGCCCCACAACTGACTCCCACTGTGCTATAAAATCCACAGATCCATAATTACAGCATATTCTTTCTCTGCTTTTGAAAACAGAGAAGGCTCTTCCTTCCTCATGAAATTGGTAAGGAGATAGAGTGAGGCGTTTCCTATGAATACCTTACTCTTTGAGGCCAGTATATAGGTGCTCAGATGAGCTTACTAGAAAGCCAGGTGAAATTATGTATATATAACACAGTTATTTGTTCTTATACTAGCCTGAAGTCAACGATTATTGGGTTGTTTTTTTTTTTCTTTCTCACCTTGAACGGAAACTTGGGAATATTAAAGATATATTTATTACAGGATATTTACTTGGGAAGTCAACTTCAAACTGTGTCACCCAGCATTCTAAAATGCCTGATTACAAGATACTAGCAGCTTAAGACTAATAAGGACTGTCATTATTATTATCTAATTTTAACTTTATGGACTTCATTTTTAGTAATTGAAAGTCATTTTCTACAAATGCATTACATACCAATTCAACAATGCTTCACAACACTTCTGTTTGTACTAAGTAAACTCTCTTCCATCCTTACAACATACGTGGGAAATTTTACCTTATCCTCAATCAGCATTCCTCGTTTCATGCTTCTTTCATAGCTGTAATTGCCTCTCAAATATTTCACATATAGAAAGTGAACACTAGTCAATAATTCTCTCACGTACTCCTCCACCTCCAACCAACTTGCAACTTTTTCTCTATTTTCAGTGGAAATGATAGTTCTTATTTTTTTGAGAGTTAAATTACTCTCATCTTCTGTATTTAACCACCTACCATTTTCTTTAAAAGCTGTCTTGAGAAAATCCTTCTCATTTTTAATCTCTCCTTTCCTGCTATGTATTTAACCTTAGCCTATAAAAACATAATTTTTATATATTGTTCTAATGTTTACAAAATTCCCTATCCATCTTACAGTTCCCTTTAGTCATATATTATTTCTTTTCTTGCCTTCACCACCAAGATTTTAATTTTTAGAAATATGATGCACTCTGCCGCCAATACTTTTTCCCTTTCATTTTTTGATTTGTGTATCACTCTCATTTTTATCGCAGAGCATCCATGTCTTTATGTAGGAACGGGAGCTTACTGCGCTTGCTCATTCAGTCCAGAGCAGACCTGCTCTCTCAAGCCATTTGAAATGTTGGTGGCACCAACTGTTGTCTGTTACCATTCCTCTAAGACTGCATAATCTCACCTGGCTGGGATGTCTATTTTGCTTTCCTAAGACTTTTTGTGAGTTCGGCCTTTACTAGATCTTACTTGTAAATCTGAGGCAATACACCCCCGCTACTTAATGAAAATGGCATTTACACAGTAAAACTGCCCACTATACCTCTCCAGAAAAGCCCCGTGCCTGAAGAATCACACCCACATGGACACGGTGGATACATAGAGTTAAGTTTTCTTTTTAAATAGTCCTCCTTATGTATTTATTTTCAGCAAAAGATGCTGTCACACATCTTTTCAGCATGTACAATTCGCTGACATTGATTTCATTTTTTGTTATACAAACATTCTTCCCATTCTTTCCTGATTGATTTCACCATCATAGACTTAACACTCCTGCCTTCTAAGCTTTTCCATTACTTGTTGGGTTGCCAGTGAATAGTTTGTTTGTTTTTGTTTTTTGTATACAAGTGAAAACACAGCCTTTCTCACATACTTTTACCTTTTGGTTATTCTCGTTCATTATTTCAATAGACAGCAACATGTTCTGAAAGTCCTCAAAAAATAAATAGTGGGATTCTCCAAAGCATAGAACCTTCTCTCTATACATATTACAACCAATTACTAGGTAATGCCAATATTTTAATTATATCTATATAGAGAGATAGATATTGTCTTTAAATTGTGAGCTCTATGGTTCACAGTTCATATCCACTTTGTTTTGTGATATTGATTACAAATCCCAAAATATAACAACACAATCGTCATTTCTCCCTATTGTCATCATTCCCCTCCTTCCTTCTTTCCTATTGCTTCCTGCCTTTGAGCTTTGTTCCTGGGTAAATGTTGCCCTTTTGATCTCATTGGATTGATTTTTTTAAGGAGCCCACACCTTCATGCTGTTACAATTTACAAGATAGGACTGTCTGTTGTTTAGTTGAAAGGTGAGCCTCTGTGGGGACTTCAGTTCCAGGCCTAAAGGGAATCTAAGGGCCACAGTTTCAGAGGTTTCATGAATCTGTATCAAACTAGTCAACCTAGGGTTTTGATAATTTGGGGCTTGTTATACATGTTTCTTTCACTCTGTCCAGAAGCTACTATTGTGGTCCTTTTTAGAGTGCTCACCAGTGGAAATGGGCAGCATTTAGTTCTGGTCTCAGGATCATGGAGGCGGGGTTTAATGAAGAATATTAGTCCTTCGGATTGTTTCTTGTGTCTTATTTTATTTACTCTTATTTTCTCTGGAATGCAAGAAACCAATAGTTGCATCTTAGGTAGCTGTTCACAACTTTTTAATCCTCCATCCATGACTCATTAATGTATTATGAAGAACATTTTCTTTTTGTAGACTATGGGAAGTGTGAATATCACTATCCCATAGCCATGCCAGATACAACATATTCAAAGTTTCATGCAATAATTTTTAACTAAGGTTTCATTCATTACATTTTCTGAAATCATTGATAATCTTAAAATTTTAACAGCACAAAAATAATTTGCATCAAAATGTGTAAAATTATATGGAAATTAATTTTATGAAATGTAAAGAAACATGTTTTCATTTCTACATAGCCGTGATGTAAAATTTAAATAAATATTGGACTTTGATTTCAAGTGTCCTCAATTACAGAGTTAATCTATAACCGCTTTACCAAAAGAAATGTTTCTAAGATATAATTTAATAATAAGTTTATTTAATTCTCACATTCTTTAGGATTTCAGCATTTGGAGTGAAAATGCTACAGCTGCAGGACAACAGGGTGATCCTAAACAACTTGACATCTCCATTTCCAACCTTCTTGCTGACTGGTATTCCTGGCCTTGAGTCTGTCCAAGCCTGGTTCTCCATCCCATTCTGTTGTCTCTACGCCATTGCCCTCTCGGGGAACAGCATGATCCTGTATGTCATCATCACCCAGAAGAGTCTCCACGAGCCCATGTGCTGTTTCCTCTCCATGCTGTCGACTACTGACGTGGGCTTGACAGTTTCTACGATGTCGACAACATTATCAATTCTGTGGTTTGAGGCAAATCAAATTAGTTTGGATAATTGCATCATCCAGATGTTTTTCCTTCATGGATTTACCCTCATAGAATCTGGTGTGCTTGTGGCTATGGCCTTTGACCGTTATGTGGCAATTTGTAACCCTCTGAGGTATACCACCATCCTCACTAATCTCAGAATCATTCAGATGGGTCTCTTTATAACAACACGAACTGTAGTGATAATAGTACCACTACTCTTGCTACTTAAACACCTCTCCTTCTGTAGAGCTAATGCCCTGTCCCATTCCTATTGTTACCATCCAGATGTGATTAAACTAGCATGTTCAGATACTCAAGCCAATAGTATCTGTGGATTAATTGGTCTTGTCCTGACCACAGGAATAGATACACCATGTATTGCCCTGTCTTACTTCATGATTATTTGCTCTGTTTTGGGCATTGCTTCTTCTGAAGGACGACACAAGGCTTTTAGCACCTGTGTTTCCCATATAGGAGCTGTTGCCATTTTCTACATCCCCATGGTGAGCCTATCCTTGGTGCACCGTTATGGTAGGTCAGTTCCCAGGGTGGCCCATTCGATGATGGCTAATATATATCTTATTCTGCCCCCTGTGCTCAACCCCATCATCTATAGTGTTAAAACCAAACAAATACGCAAGGTTATACTCCATCTTCTGCAGACAATATAGAGCTTACCTATTCATTATTATCATGAGTGTCATGTAGATTTCAGTGAAAACGTGGGCATAGTCATTCCATCGCTAGATACGTCCTGAAATGTTATGTCCTCAGAAAGACCTTTTATGGAATCTTCATAGCAGACTTATTGTTTATAATAGCTAAAATTGAGAACCATTATAAAGATACAGCAATAAACAATAGATAAATATAAATTTACTCTTAAAACATGCAACATAAATGAATTTCAAAAATAGAATTTTTCTTCTTTTCAAAGAAGAATAATGAGCAAAAGGGGAAAATGCAGACCAGAATTTCCAACTCTTAAATTAAATGAACAAAGTTAAATACTATTGCATAGCCAATAAAAAAATGCTCATGGACTCTAGACTTCTCTGGACATGACATTTAGATGAACCTCTTTAACTGTTTCCCTGCTAAAGTTTGTAAACTTTGAACCAAAAATACCCCATATATATTTCAGATAATTGCCCCTGTCCTCATATCGATTTCAACACCTGGTGATCCTATATCGGCTTTCTGAGGTTAAAAGTCTTCACAGGGGCAGATAATTTCATCTTTCTCCCCTTGAGTTGTTGCATTCTTATGGGGAGCATTCCAACAGTCACCCGACCATGCAACCAGGGCTCTTTGACTTCGCTTAACCAGTAACAAGATCTGCCTTGAGCATCATGCTCTTTAATGTCTATTTAGGACTGCCTAGAAACAGCATCAAGAAGATCACATAGGAAACTTAGGGACTGGTAACTTCTGTGAATGAGAGAGGAAAAGCTCAGCAAACAGCTCAATGAATGCAATCCATGTTACTACATGATACATGTAAAAACTGTTGAATTAGTGTGTTTTGGTATTGTATATTCTCAAGAACAGAAATATTAATAAAATATTTTTCAAATTTTCAAGGCTTCATGAATACCATAAAAATCTTCCATAGCTCCCTTATCACCCCAAAAGCCAAGGTAAAGAATTCATTATCCTCAGCAGGACACTAAGCATTTGAAGAGGTGAAATCCAGTTTGATTAATCTTTTAACATGTTTGGACTTTGAGAAATTTCAAATACAATAAATAAAGGCTTTTTCCATGAAAGACTTGATTTACCAGCACACAACTGATTACAATTAATCCATATAAAGCAAAAAAAAAACCCCACTTTTAATCAGTAAAATATATCCTCTTGCATGCAAAAGGCAGTTTGAAACTAGCAGCATCTCCAAGGCAGAGCTATTGGGCTGTCTACTTCCATAAACAGTTATAGTCTCAGAAACCCACAGGAGATGGATATGAATCAGCATTGACTCAATGGCAGTGAGTTGTTTGTTTTGGGAGTTTTCTTATGTGAAATGGAGATATGGACAAAATATTTATAAAATGATGTCCCAAGTATTGTGATATATGCTAATACAAAAGTAGAGTTTTACCCCTTGTTATCTTAACATGGTTGAAGGTGTGGATAAAGGAGTAGGGAAGAAAATACTAATTACAAAGAAATTCTGTAGAGGAATGTGCAAGATACCAGGTTTTGCTTCCATGGAATGTTCTTTTCAGTTTTTAATTTCTAGTTCTTTTCTAGACATAGACATGGCAATATAAAAACACAAAAACATTACCCCCTTTTTCCCCTTTGTTTTTTTCTTGCTGTGCCCTTCCCCACTCCTATTGTTACCATCCAGATGTTATTCACTTAGCATGTTCAGATACCCGGCCCAATAGCATCTTTGCACTAATTGGTCTCATCCTGACTGCAGGGATAAATATGCCATGAATTATTCTGTCTTCCATCATGACTGTTCGCTCTGTCTTAGACATTGCCTCCTCAGAAGGGCGGCGTAAGGCCTTCAGCAGCTGTGTGTCCCACCTTGGAGAAGCCACTGCTCTCTATATCCCCGTGGCAAGTCTATCCTGGGTGCATTGCTATGGTAGCTCAGTCCCCAGAGTGGCCCATCCAATAATAACCAGCATGTATCTGATTTTTCCCCCTGTGCTTCATCCCAGCATCTTCAATGTTAAAACCAACCAAATACTCAATGCAATACTCAATCTGCTGCTGAAAAAAGAATAGATTAAGCTCTACATTATTAGGGAGCCCTGATGATACAGTGGTTGGACATAGGGCTGCTAACCGAAGCTCAGCTGTTTGAAACCACCAGCTGCTCCTTGAGAGAAAGGAGGCTGTCTGCCCCGTAAAGTGTCACAGTCTCAGATATGCGCAGGGGCAGCTCGATCCTGTCTGTGGAGTGTTGCCATACTCATCACCTTAATGGCAGTGAGTATAATTATTAGCAGGAGTGAATGTAAATTTCAGTTAAAAATGTGGATGCTACCATTTCCCTTCTAGGTATTTTCTCAATAATTATTTCCTCAGACAAGCTTTTTTTTGGTAAATCTTCATAGAAGCTTTTTATTATCCTTTTAATAGGTAAAATTAAGATGTGTAATACATAGAAATGAATGAATACTTGAAACACAATATAGGTGAATCTCAAAAACAAAAATTTTGTTCCTTCCATAGAATGATCTTGATCAAAGAGGGAAAATGAAGAGCAGATTTACAAACTAAAGGCAACAAAAGTAAATTGTATTACAAACCCTGAATTAAAAAATATATATCATAGACTTCTGACTCCTTTGGACTTAAAATTTAGATGAACACATGAAGCTACTGCCCTAAAATAATCTCTATATTTTAAACCAAAAATATCCCCAACAGTATTCTGAAAGCCAAATAATAGTTTAGCTTAACTAGTAAAACAAGTGAAATGTCTGCCTTGATATTATGCTCCTTTAAAAACTATGTATACGGGATCAAATTAACAATAGCAACTCTAAATATCCACTAATAACCAAGGGGGCAGTGAATTTTGTTAAGGAAAAGTCAGAAAAAGGTGAGAATAGTTTCTAAAATTCAAAACTTGTAATCAATATCATTTTATGGTACATGTAAAAACCATTGACTTGGTGTGTGTTTGCTGTGTATATTACCCACAACAGTAAAATAAAGAAAATGTTATTATATAAGATATCATTGTCTCATGAACACCCAGAATGTCTTCCATAACTCTTTCAACTACCAGAAGAAATAAGGTAAATAATTTATTACCGTCAGTCTTTAAGTAGTTTTACTATTTGAAACCCAAGGTGATTGGTCCGTGAATATGTTTGCATATTAAGAAGTTGCAAGCACAATGGGTGTAATCTTTTATCACAATACATTTTATTTACCAGTACATCCCCGAATACAACTAGCTCACATGAAGTAGAAGAAAAAATTTTTAATCATAAAAATACATTCTTTTGCACTTTAGGAGCTTACAACCTACAATGTGAACTGAAAACATGGGCAAAAAATTATAAAAAACAACTCCTCAAGTGTTGTCACAGATAATATAGAGGAGTACAATGGTACCCTTGCTTATTTTGCCATGTGGAACAAATAAAGCCTTGTCTATCTTGTTAATAAATGGACAGGGAGGGAAATAACAGTTTGGAAGCAACTCTTCAGGGGAGTGTGAAAGACATCATCTAATCATTTTACTTTCCATATAATAGTCTCCTGAATTTTTAATGATTCTTATCTGGGCATAGACAGTGAAATCTGAAAACACACTAAAATTTTTCCAGTTTTTGTCTAGCTATGAGCCCCTCCCTGGACATTTTTATTACATAGTAAACATAGTTTGCTTACAGAACATCTACTGTTAGAACAGTGCTAGTAGGTAAAAAATTTTTTTTAAAAAAATTTGTGCAGTTACCATAGAAATTTGATTTTGCTTGTTGAAGTTTAAATGTGGGGATGTTTTTCTAATGATTATACATTACTGTTAACTACATGAATCTTTGGAAAACTAGAACACTAAAGATGATGTGATAGGTTTATTGTGGAAACCTGGTAATAGGAACACATGGGATTAGTCAGGTCACAGGTGGATTGGAAGGAAAAGAGAATAAAGACTCTGTAAGGCTCATGCCCTTCTCTCTTGCTCTCCAGTGATCTCACCAGTGTTCTGCTGCTTTAGCTAGTCCTCTGCCTCAACCTGTGTGCTACACTACCTGTGGGCCAAGTCAACCCATGGTGGATTGTGGATTGTGTTGCTAGAGCTTGAGGCTCCTTTGAGATCTGCTTCCTCACACTGCTGATGCACACATTGCTTGAGCTTGAGGCTGGTGGATCCAATCCCCTTGCATTGTCTGAGTTCAATAACCCATACAGGCTGGTTTAACTAAGCTCCCAAGCTACTGACTATTGCTGACCCCACCCTGTTGTTTGCTGCCTGCATGCAGACTGCCTGCTTTGCCCAAGGGAGACCTCAGTTGTCTACTTCCTTGATCTTGGACCCAGCAGCCCACGTGACTTGAAGGACTTCCAGTATATTAACTGTTCCGTGAATGTGAGTTGAACTGAGCCTTCTGTACTGCTGTGTGGACAAATTAGCTGTTATACTCCTGTGTCCTGGATTTGTTAGCGAATCCTGCCTAACATAGAAGAAAACTTCTACTTTGAGTTACTTAAAGTGCTGCAGTCTCACATAGAAGTCTGCTCTAAAATGAGTGTGCTGAAAAAAAAAATCCCACAAATATTAATGCAATCATTCTTCCCAGGGCTGAGTAAGCAAGCAAGAAGACGGAAAACCAGAATGTCCTTGTACAAACTAAGGCACAAGATGAAGGCTCACTCCTCAGTTGTAAGTCGGTTGTCCTGTGACGACTTAGATGTTGCTGTGAGGCTGGAAGCTATGCCACTGGTCTTACAATTCACTGGGTCACCCCAAGGAGAAAAGTTCTGAAAGGTCTCCAGACTAAAAAACAGTAGGAAAAAGGACCAGGCAATTTATTTCCAACAAGTGACAATGAAGCCCTTGTGAATATCAACACAGAAATAGCTCATATAAGGCTGAAAGATGAGCCCTTGAGGTTGTAAGCCTTTCAAAATACAGCTGAAGACTCAGAACAGCTCCTCAATGTAGGGTTGACCTTAATTAAATGGATTTAGG